GTAAAACATTTATTTTAAATGTCCAATACCGGGTCAAATCGAATCACTCAATTTCGACATTTCAAGGATTGTACTTCGGTTATCTTACACTAAAAATAGTGGACGAGGACAAAATATAACGTACACTATTCTCTTACTATAAAATAACGAATTAGGCTAGTGAAACTGACGCGAAAAGGTTGTTATAACGTGAGCTGAAATCTAAATGTCTATACACCAACTCATGTGTACAAACAAACCGGAGCGCCCCTAGTGGCCGCCACCGGCGCCGCGCATGCGCGATGGGGGTGTGGGCAAGAAGCTCGCCGTCTCCCATAAACAAACCATTGTAATGCAATGTTGTCGGCTTCGGTGTGAGTCCCCCTGCCCTTTTTCGCGTTCGAATCGTTGATTCTACGTCTTCCTGGCGATACCTGACCGCTTCCGCGGCGTCAGCGAAATTATGCGGAGGGCAAGTTCGTCTGCTCCTTGCGCAGGGGGTAGCGGTGACGTCAGAACGCCGAGCCCTGATTGGCTGATCGCGAGCCCCCTATCTGAGTGTCGTCTGCTCCTTTGCAACGTCGTCTGCGTCTGTCTTACCTTTGCTGCGACTTTCGAAAGTGCAGAAGCCAGGTTCACAAAACGATCTTACGCCAAAAATATCCGTAAGACAAAACTCGAGAACAAATTCGTATTCACGAAACGAAATTTTCGTAAGTTTTGCGCAGGTTACGACGAAATCCTACGACAGCTCCGAAGCTGTCTTAATGAGATCAGCATGGCCGACAGCGTCGGGGTCGCGACGACCAACGGACGTTTATTTTTCTACGTGCGCCTCTCGCGCGTCCCGACTTGAAGCAGCAAGAAAAAAGTAAAAAGTACTTGAAACAGACCACGAGGAACAAGAACGCTGGATCCACAAACACCCGGGAAAAGCTCCAACGGCCACGATTCCACCGACAACGACCAAGCGAGCACAGCAGATAGGCCTAGCAGGCACTCCGACTCGGCGACCGTCTGCCCACGACCGGCTGGCGTGCTGAATGGAATATGCCCGCGCGACCATTGTGAACCTTTCCCGTCTCATACTTTGATCGCTGACTTCAATTTTAGATTAAGAGGTCAATCTCTTCCTCTTGTCATCTCCTTGTTTTCCGAGGCAACGGTGACTCTCGCCGGTAAAAAAGCGGTGAATCTCCGACAGACGCAGGAAAGGTAAAGCAGCCATCGCTTTGACTAGCAGACGTAAAGCAGACGACGTTAACTGCGCCAACCCGCCGACGCCGTTAAAGAGTGAGAAGTCTCGCGGCACACGAAAGGTGGGAAAAAGTATTTGGGAGGGAACTTGCGGACACTAACCACCCCCACTCTCGGTTCTTAGCAAACAAACCTCGGCGCCTCGGGACACCTCGCCAGTGAGTCCTTTGACTTCCCTCCTTGATGCGCGTCGGCTAGTTGTTAGACAAAAACAACCTACCGCTCGAGTTATTTCGTCTGCCCACTCTGAAAGGCGAAGTACTTCCGAAAGTCGCAGGAAAGGTAAGACAGACGCAGACGACGTTGCAAAGGAGCAGACGACGCTCAGATAGGGGGTCCCGATCAGCCAATCAGGGCTCGGCGTTCTGACGTCACCGGTACTTCCTTTCTCATGCGCAGAAGACAAAAATGAGCCCACTTGCGAGGCGTATTGAGGCTCGTTACACCACAAAACTTCGCGTGAATAACGTGACATGTGGCGATTCATTCCTCGTGGAATGAATCGCAAACGCCGCACTATGTACGCTAAAGCCTGATTCGCATGATGCGATTTCGCTCGCAATTTTCAGCCGCGACGCCACTCGGGCTGCAAAAGTGTGAACCGTAGCTGAGATGGTTGTAGTCGATACTGAAAATCGCAAGCAGAATCGGATCAAGTGATTAGGGATAGCAAGTCAGTGATGGCTACTGGTAACAATGATCAACATCTCTTCGTATCTACTGTTTACATCGAGCCTGCTTACCAACCTCCAAATTTAAGTATTTTGAGGCCTGCGCGGACTTCTTATCGCAAGTACCGGGTCCACATTTGGTCTATGGTCCGGCGTCGTCTAGAGAGCAGACGACAAGCAGAAACGTTTGAAAGAGCAGTCGACAGTTCGAACGATCAGGCGGCCGTTTGAACTTGAAGACGCACTGAACGTCGTCCATAGGTGGTCCGCACAACTTGACGGTTTTCTGGCGTTCATGTTGGAACAAAACAAATAAATCTAATGACCACAAGTATCCGTGAATTCAACCCGAAGTGCTTCCCGCCCAAGCAATTTTGTCCGATGGCGTCTGCTTTTTCCTTTTCACGGCACATATCCAGATTCTCGGACGAACCGAGCAAGTGAAAACTGACCTTCAAACATTTCTCGACACTTTTGGTACGGCCCCAGTCGCGGCGTTTTGACGAGAAGGCAGGTTTTTGTCTGGTTCCTTTTAAAACAACGCGGGAATACACGTCTGGCATGGGGACTTCTGCCCACAGCCCCAGACCGGAAGTGCGACCGACGCGCACCACCACGCCGTGACGTCACAGAGTTGAGTTCGTGTATATAGACGCTTTGCAGCAGCTGTGCATGGGCGCCGCCATAACTGACCTTCAGTTTTTGTTCCCCCTTATTACGTTTACTTCACTTCATTATTACCATAGCAGGCCAGGTTATTGGCATCTTAGACTTTATTCTGTCTTGCTCCCCAGCATTGGCCTTTGTGGAGGCTCGTCCACACCAATTTCAGTGGCTCGGTATCTCGGCAAAACAAGAGAAGGTCAGCAATGGCGGCTGTATTCTGGCGAGTGTGTAAAGCGTCTATACTGACACGTACGCTGTTTACAAAGCCCGCGTTTGCCAACGCCAAGTGTGGGCATCACGCGTCCGCAGAAACCAAATTTCGCATGAGACGAAGTATTTGCTTGCGCATGCGCAGTGCCGAAAGCAGTTCCTCCGCAGTCCCGTAACGTCAGAGTGCTAACTTGGTGGGAGGAAGAGCCACGATTGAAAGAGAGCGAAGACGGCGACTATGGATGAACAAAAACAATCATCGACGTGAAATTGTAATATCCGTGCACACACAAAAAAAAAACACCTTTCTCCAGGTATATTTCTTGAAATCCATAACTCGACTTAGTTATCAAATTTCTCGCTTGCTAGTTTAGTTGCTAGTTTACATTTCAAGCGGATTATTAGCCTTCAACGGAGCTTAGAAGTTAATCCGCCCTTGTTATGGTACATCTCGCTCGATGCCCCGGATGTTACAGCAAGGACAACAGCTTATCTTTAGACCGCCGTAAAGATAACGAACCCTGTGTGTCATTCGTGTACGCGTGGAGAAGGCTTCAAGATCCCAGTCACTCGACCACTTGCCGACACACCTCTAACAGAACCGGACGGCCAGCTTCAGACGACGTTGTTTCACGCCCACATCTAGCAGAAAACAACTGGATAGCGAGGCACTTCGTACGTACGTTCGAGTCTTCGAACAACCTTTTTTTAGTTTTGTTCACTTATATTTTCTATGCCCCGCTTCACACTAAGTCCGACCGGACCCAACTCTACGATCCGATGTAAGTAATCAAGCAATGCCAGAAGTGCTATGTCATGGCGCTCGTCGTCTGCGTGCATTTTCAATCGCCGACTTGACCCATCACTCTACGTAAATGCGCCGTGACCCCGCGCTTTTTTTTTTGTTTTTTTGTGAGCTATTAGTTTAGCCGGTGACTTGGTAAGCGCTTCCAGAAGTAATCAACGGCCAATTGCAGACTAAGGCTAAGTTTAATGTCCGTGCTTTTGGACGAACCAAATTTAATTCAGACTGGTCTTTTTTTTTTTCTGAGCATAGTTTCTTTGTTTGTTTTCACGTGGTTCGCTGACGCTTTGGCTACACTAACCGCCGAATTCAGAAACCTCACTCAAACTACACTCAAACTGAAGGGCCCCTCCATTTCCTCGAGGAAGGCGCGAGGGCCGGCGCTGGCCAATCGCGACGGCGGATCCGTCCTCTCGATTGGCCAGCGCCGGCCCTCGCGCCTTCCTCGAGGAAGTGGAGGGGCCCTTCAGTTCGAGTGTATAGTTTGAGTGAGGTTTCTGAATTCGGCGGTAAATCTTGGGATCCGTAGATGCCTAGAGTATGGATAACCTGATTTCTCAGAGTACCTGCTGGAGAAAAAAAGAAAACGATTTTGAGTTTTACCCGTGCCGGCATACAGACTTTGAGGTCTTCACCGTCGGAGGATCTTAACGCCTATTAAACCGCAAAGCCAAGGCAAGAGCATCTATTTTTTTAATTGTGTTTTAAATATGTCCATGCTAAAAGTGAATGTAATACATGTGGTAGCCTATAAAAGAGAAAACGTCACCAACTTTTGATTATTTATCTTTGATGCAATTTTTTTTAAGTTGCTCGTGTTAGACTTTTTAGTTCAGTTGAACCAGAAAGAACCGCATTATTTTCCAAAAATATTTGTATACCTTACACATGTAGTAAAATGTGTTCTTGCAAAGTGCACTGCGTGACCAAGACGGCAGGGTAGGTAAAACGGCACATGGACTATTTTGAGGTGTTTTAATAAAATCTATATAGGTATGTTTAATGGAAAACTGGACGTTGATGTTTTGAAGTTAAACAGCCTACCAGTTGTCACACATAAAAAAAAAAAAGAAACTTTAAACCGTTTGTTTGCATACGTCTGTTCTGACAAAGACCAAATGACTGGTAGGTAAAAATGTACGAATCAGGTGAAAGAATCAAAAAAATTTTGGGACAAGAAAGGGCAGACCTCACAGTTCTTTCACAAAAAAACTGCGCTGTCCGTCCTTGTCCCTAAGTGTATTTATTATTTCATTGATTCTCACTCGTGCTGACTATACGTCAAGCTGTGTAAGCCTTCATATCCGTAGAAATTCCGGACTCATGAACTGTCTAGTTCCACCTGAATGGCCGATAATATTATATCAGTGCTATAAAAAAATATAACACCAAATCTCCTTTCCCAGAGGCAGCAAGAAGAATGGCTAGACGTATCACATCTTTTCAACTGGCGATAGTAGGCGTCATATTGGCGATATGTCCGTGGGACTCGCATTTCAAGATGGCGTCCGGAGTCGAGACGCCGCAAACCAAGATCGTCTGCTACTTCACGAGCTGGGCGTTTTACCGAGTGGAAGAAGGCAAATTTCTTCCCGAGAACGTGGATCCGTCGCTGTGCACACACATCAACTACGCCTTTGCCTTTCTCGATTCGACGTCACTCAAGATCGTGGCTTCGGATCCATGGGCTGATCTGGACAACCAGTTCTATAAGGTGCGTTTACTCTACTATTTATTTTACTTATTTCACGGTCATTGTAGTTATTATTTTACGGGGTTCCACAACGAATTCCCGTCCGTGTTCAGCGTACGCAAGTCGCGGCCCACTAAATTCGGGATATAAAAAGTATCCCGTAATTTGGCGGAGAACGATAGTGTCAACTAACGTCGGATTTTGTTTGTAATAAGTAAGATTTGTCTTAGAGAAGTTTATCTTTCTACAGTTGCGTCAGCTTGTTTTTTTTATCTGCCTATGTTTGTGTCTGCATTTCGGGCGTTTGCGTGAGAACATGAACGGGGAGTCGTCTTCCGCCCCCAAGCACAGGGTCTTCGAGCAGGAGTCGGACCCTGGTCGTTAACAGACGGATCGGGTGTCGGTTTGGGGCGCCGGGACTCCCGTGTCTTAGGCAGCGGTACACCCGTCCACAATTGTAGCTTTTAAGCGGGTGTGCTTGTGTCCGGGGTTTTTCGCCGCTTAGTGTAGAAACTTCGCTTTTAATCGACGCAATAACGTAACTGGGTGGCGCCGGCCGGGCGGCGACGAAAGCATGTAGTGACTCTACAAGGAATTTGGGTTTGGCCGTTGAGGTGTCGGAGGGGGGTCACGTTGACAGCTCGCTGGTCATTGGGTAAGAGTGTACCACGTGACAATGGGCGAATATGAAGTGATTGGTACGTCTTTGGAGGAAAAAGAGGCCCCTACGAGTCTAGAAAGGGGGTGCCGAGAGGATTCTCGGGGATTCGGCTTTTGAGATCAGGGAGATTCGGCCCTTGAGACTGGGGATTAAAGTATAGGTTTTAATTTCGGGAGTTTTATATTGTAAAGTACCGTTGACTTGTTGTCGTCTTGTTTCGAAATAAAGGTGGCCACACTGGTTATCGTGAACCAACCAACGTCGTAATGTGTCCAGCGGGATCGAACAACTTTTAGTTTTTTTGTTTTTTTTTCTTATTCGACTTTCCGGGGGACTTCCATCTGGCGAACACCGTCATCGGTCGTCACCATCCTGACCGGCCTCTTGAAAAGTTGACTGATAGTGTCTTCTCAATGAGACGCCATGATGTCACTTTTCGTCACACGAGAGGACGTCACTATTGTCTCGGGAAATTCAGCGCAGATTTTTTTGCCTGTAAGTTTAGCCGTTAGTTATCTCCGCTGAAATGGGCGGGAACTTAGTTCCACGTGACGTGATGGTACCATGGGACGCAAAGCGTCATGTGATTCAAAAAGTTACGTGACGTCACGGTACCAGGTGAACGCCGCCCGCTCAAATTAGTGGGACGTAAGTCCCCTTACTTTTTACACGGCAGTGTAACTGTGAGCAACAATGTGCAGAACCTCGGCTGTTGCCGCAGCTGATATGTAAGACACGGCAAGATACCTGGATATTTTTTCTCAATGTTACTACCTTGAGTCAGAGATACATGACACTTTAGTAAAGGAGTCGTAAAACAAAAATGTAAACAACAAAATTCCTCTTTGAAAAATTGAATAAATCACGTTAATTTTATTTTCATCAGATGGGTTTACGATTTAACTCCGATTAATCTGATTTAAATCACTGTAGTTAGCAAACATTTACTTTTTACTGCTATATGTATTTTGAAACGTGGCGGATTGAGTCATCAATTCGTCCAATCACTGACAATAATGGAACGGAAAAATTACTCTAAATTTAGTATGAACTTTAATGAACCACTTTTTATTGCCGTGATCCTCCCATACTGGAAACAAAGGGACTGAATTTTTAGTTAGCTGAAAACATATTCCATTTTGACTTGATTACAGGTCATTACTTTCAAAGTTTTTGTTTATTTCTCGTGCTTACTGATTTTGTTACAATAGGATGTTAGGTAACTGACGAACGAATTTGAAAGTAGAAATTAAGCTCAATGCCCCGATTGGCTCAGAGCACTTTTTTTTTATTTTTAGTCTTGTATAAATCGTTCTTGCTTTGTGATATTTTGTTTAAGTGCAAAAGAAAGGTACGTAGAAAGATTCAAGGGATGGACAAGCGGTAAATACAATATATTTTTAGGCTTATTTTGGGGGAACGGTTTGGTTTAAATCATTACATTGAAACTGGTCTGATAAAAATCATGATTTAAATCAAATGTATTTTTATTCTACACCATGTTTAGCTCCCATTCGATCTCACAAATAAGCTTGCTAACCAACGAATGCATCGGAGTAGAGTGAAATCCGTTTTGGTCAACCAAGAGGCGGCCAGCTGGGGCAGGAAACTGCAAAGCCAGGCGTTCTAAGTAATGCTGGAAAATGGGTTTATTCCATTCAGATGTAGTTCAATGAAAACGCAATTCATTAAGCAGTTCTTCGAAGCTGAAGTTTATCTATATATCGTTCTTGGATGTGACGATTTAATGCTAGTTCTATTGTTAATATGCTAGAGTCATGACGAGTTCTATACATTTTTTTTTTCATACTAATGTCGTGTACTATCACTGAATTATGAGCTCGTACCCGGCACTATTCGGTAACATATTTAATAATCTAATACCTTCAAAAAAATTACCTCGTTGTTTTTCTTCTTTTGTGTATTTTGTTTTGAATTTTATATTAGCAAACGCTAGCCTGATGTGTTGTTATTCGCTCCACTGCTGATACATCAAAACTTGTTCCTTCACTTTAGAGTGACAGTTAATCATTAATTATGGTATAACACTGCATACATTTATTTTGTGCATAAACTGACATAATTAAGTTTCATACGTAAAGAACACAAGTGTCACCGATCTGTAAAAAAGCGCTTCGGTTTAGTTTCCTTTTTTTTTTTATCCGGAGCAAACTTGTTTGTTTATTACATTTTCAACTATGTATATACAATGTAACATGACTGCCAACAACGACGAAAATAATCCCTGGAGGGACGAAGGAAAAACACAAATCTCCAAACACAGCTAAGTGACTGGTGAGGGATCGAAAAAATACGCCTGGTCAAGGTATCGAACCCGGGACCACTCCATTACAGGTAGAGCGCTCTACCAACTGAGCTAACCAGGGGTTAGACGTCAGTAGAGCAAACGGTTTTTACCAGCTCGCTTGCACCTTTGCATTTAATTGCAATATAAATACTGCAAACCCCCTTTCCTATCGTCTTTCTTCGTGCAATACACGAACAAACGCTTTCAAAGATACCGAACTAATGAGCGAGCCGCGCTGAGCTTAAACCTTCAAATCATTATGCGTGATGTTTTGTGCACAATCCCCTATCAACCATTAGCCGATTGCAAAAAGACTATCTCGAACTTAACTTTGATTAAATTTAGTTTTCCATACATGCTGAGTTTTGTGAAAGCATAATGCACGCCCACCATTGACGACTTAAAATAGTACACTTACTCTTTCCTCTTCCTATTGTCTCTCTCATTGTTTTACTCGTTTTTTGCCCTAATTTATTTTGTGTACATTTCTTTCTCGCTCTCTCCCTCGGTTTCTTTTTCACTCTCACTACATGCTTCTTGTCTCTATAATAAATCGATATGGATGAATGTGTCGAATAAAACCTTTGTAACATAAGAATATACAAGAACTTGTGCACCGTTCCTTACAACTTATACCGTTTCTCTATGTTCCTGCATACTTATACCCTTGTTACACGGGCACAATTAACTGCAGTTACGCTAAGCCACAGATAGCGCACAATACTTGCGGACAACATTCTGCGGCTATGCAGTCAAAGCTATGGGCGAACGTGCCCTCGAGCATCTTGAGCATCTATCAAAGCAGTGCGCTCGCGCTCTTCACTTCTTCTGATTAGAGCCACTAAATGAGCTGCGCTTAGAGTATCGGCACTCCGTTCCCCGACATTGTTGTGGGCGCCGCCATTTTGGGGCTTGTGCAGAGCAGACGCAACTGCCAATCGTCATGATTTCAAAGTGCGACTTCCTCAGCATTAGATTCGGTGTTAGGAAGCTTATGTAATGTTGCATTGCTCTGAAGCGAACTGTTGAAACATTTGTGGAGGGCGAAAAAGCGTTTCCTGTGATTTCAGATAAAGCTTCAGAGAACTGGCAACCATGATTTTAAGCCACAATATGGCCAAGTGTCGTTACTCTGAGGCGTAGCTTATTTAGTGGCACTACTTCTAATATAGCTGTCAGAGAGTATAATGCGGTATCTGTGGTGCTGCGAAACAGCAGTTAAGTTGAGTTAACCGCAGTTAAGTGTGCCCGTGTAACAGGGGTATTAGCGGCGAGGTGTTTTGGTGGCGCCCTCCTATGGTTCCCCCGTGTGACGTCATTCGCTTGCAAACAACAAGTTTGATGGTGTTTGTAAATAGCATGGTGGAAGCTTGATATCATTGAGCTCTTAAAGCAACACTGCCAACACCGTCAAAATGAAAGTTCTTTCATTCCTCTTATTTCCGTCGATGATAAATCCCCTTTCCTACGTCATAGTCAGAGTTCGGCCAATCGCGGAAGGCCGACCACAGCGACGCTTTCGGTCGCGCACGGGGCTAATAAGTGTACAAATAAAACAAAATAAAGGTATATTTTTTCAGTAGATTTTGTGTTGTTTCGCGCCTTTTGTCTTGCTCCTCCATGACATCGTTAATATTATTTATATTTGTCCGTTTTCTGTTTACAGAAAGTGAATGACCTCAAGCTCCTTAACCCAAAGCTCAAAGTACTGCTTTCTCTAGGAGGATGGACAGAAAGCGGAAGCGACAAATACTCTCGACTTAGCGCGAGCGCCAGTGCCAGAAAGGCCTTCGTGACAGACTCTGTGGCCTTTCTGAAACGCTACAGTTTCGACGGTCTGGACATTGACTGGGAATACCCGAACTGCTGGCAGGGAAACTGCGGCTCAAATCCCAAGGACAAGGCCAACTTCGTCCTCCTCCTACAAGTGTGTGACAGTTTAGGATCTCGCATAAATGTGGAAGGGGACCGGTGTCCTTAGGTTGAAACACGTGGAACAAAAGCTCCCACTTGAGAACTTTAGGCCGGTTTGCTGCTGAATGCAGGGTGATCAAAATAACCGCCAAATCTAATCTAGACATCGCGTGACCGGTTTGGTGGGGATAAAATACCTAGCGTTCCAGCTGGTACTTCATAAACTGAGATAAGCCTTGTTTTTTTAATTTTTTTTTTTGTTATTCTCGCTTACCACGACCTTTTTTTGAAATACCTTTATAGGCCACTCATAAAGTGCACGAATGCAATTAGTTTCACTTAAAGTTCAAGCCAGTTCACCCTCTTTTTGTGCGAAAAAAGATGACTCTAATCATCGAAGCGAGGACGGAATGGTGACAACCACTTCCCTGGAACGCTATATGCACCTGGAGCTTCTTGACCCCATGAAGCCGGGCACTTGACCTCAAACTCCCTCATGCGGCTATATTTTCGAAGCATGGAGAGATAACGCATTCACCTGCAAAGCGGTTCAGGGATCGTGGGTTCAATTAACTACCAACTGTGAAAAGAATTATCTTCTATCTACCTGTATATGTCATGTTTTCAATGCAAACGTATTTGCAGGTGATGATAACTTTAGAACAGTAAAATTCTGCCAGGGCTGTGCCCGTGCATCCTTCCACTGGATATACATAAAAACATACATACATAAAAAAAACGCGAATTAAGGACTCTTTACCTTGAATCATCGTCCTGCATAATATTCTCGCAGTAAGCTATTTTTCTCATTTTCAGGAACTCAATGCTGCCTTTAAACAGCAGAAACCAGCACTTCTGCTTACCATCGCCATGTCTGCTAACGTGAACGTAATGAAACAGGCGTATGATGTACCCAACATCTTCAAGTAAGCCGCACAACCCCTCAATTCTATGTCAAAGCGACTCTTGGCATTAACACCTATGTGAAACTATGTTACACTTTCTATGTTTTCTGATTCCGAGGACATGACATATGGTCAAGCCATTAACGTACCAATAACACGATGAAAATGAGCCGCCCAATAAACGTAGAAGTACAGAAACACAACTACGACTAAACAATAATTCCTTGTTGTGGTTGCATCTTTACTTTTGCGCTTATTGAGTCGCCAGTCACGTCCCTATTCAATTTGTCTGGCTGTGTTTACCTCCGCCTTGGCTCATATGCCGATATATACATAATATATATATATATTGTACCGTTTAGACACTTGGACTTTGCCAATCTGATGGCTTACGACTATGCGGGTTCTTGGAGTACCAAGACGGGCCACCACTCGCCACTGCAAAAGGCCTACGGAGAAACAGATCCCACAGCAAGTGTCGTGAGTACAGGTCTTTCTTGTTTCACCAACAGTAGTTATTTAACTCCTTACGACAGAAGAACCTAACTATTTCGAAGTAGACTAGTGATTATTCGTCACACACAAAAAAATGTCGTCCTATTAATCATTCGTTGAACGTGATGTCTACTAACGTGTTAGTTTCATCGGGTTGGTAACATTCAAGCGTGAAAGAATATTTTCAAGAAGGTGTATGTGGCGCGTTCTGTAGAAGTGTATGACTGTTAATCGGCACGTTGTAGCTAAGCCATAATAGATGGTGCGCACATTTGCGTTCGACTATGCTACGACCAGCTGTAACTACTTAGGACAATATAACTCATTGGCGCCAGCTCTTGTGTTTCCTTGTCGCAAGTGGGTCAAATAGCCATCTGGCCGTTCAGGTCCTAAACTAGAATGAATGTTTTAAAGGTTTTGCGAGATCACATTTACGCACTATTTAAGAAAAATGGTCGCTAATAACATTTTCAGAATTAAACGAAGATGAAAGATTGAGGAGTAAAACAAAATGAGAAAATACGGAGACACTACGTGATGCCAGGGCTATCCGAGAGATTTTGCCAATGTGTAGTATCTCATCGAAGAGCGGCCACAAGCGGTCGTAACGCAGTCGGTCGCAGTTTGCGAAGAAACCTTTAAAGTTTGACCAAACAGGGCAGAGCAAATGCCGTGCCCGCATCTTATGTGTTCCGTTTGTTACCCTTTTACATTCGAACGCAGGAGTACAGCGTAAACGCGCTCTTGGCCCTGGGTGCGCCGGCGAACAAGGTGGTACTTGGAGTTCCCTTCTATGGCCGATCATTCACCCTCTCGGACCCTGCCCAGAACGGGGTAGGTGCTCCCGTCAAGGGCGCAGGCACAGCGGGAGCCATTACTAAAGAACCGGGATCATTGTCTTACTATGAGGTAAGGCTCCTCAATCTAAGCATAATTAGATGGGTGCTACGGTCCTTCAGAACTTTCGGCAGGCCGTTACCGCCATGTCGTTAATGCTATCGCCACCTGCCACCAAAATAGAGTACGAAGACGTTTTAGTTAGCCGTCATTCTATAACCCTGTTTTGTTTTTCGCCAATACGAGACGACGAGTTGTCAAAACGCCGAAGCTCACCATTAACCGGGTGTCACCACCGTTCTTAGGACGCCGGCACCGTCTCCCCTTCCTTGGCTAGCACACCGAGGGTTGCAACGAAACTGTCCCGTCAAACGTTACTCGATCAACTCACAAGGGATCATGCTCTCCGTGGTAGTTTGCCAACTGAGTTCATCAAGTAACGTTGACTAGAACCAACGTTATTCGATCAACTCAGTTGTCAAACTCCCACGGAGAACGTGATCTCTTCTAAGACACCCGCTGACACACGTCAGTCTCCACTGATAACCCCTAGATTCGGAAATGCTATTTGAAGTGTCATCTCTTTTGCATGCCGCGGCCGTGTTTTTGTATAGCTGTTGCAAGACGCGCCGCAGCGAGCAAGAAGGTTGGCGCTTCGAACAGTGTTAGCCCGGCTGAAGGGTACGAGAGGGATCACGCTCTCCGGGGGAGCTTGCCGACTGAGTTAGTCGAGTAACGTTGCGAGACACGCGCTGACACACGTCAGTTTCCGCTAATAACCCTTAGACTCGGAAATGCTGTTTGAAGCGTCGTCCTTTTTGTCCGCCGCGGCCGCGTTTTGAACTGCTATTTCAAGACGCGCTGCAGCGAGCAAGAAGGTTGGCGCTTCGGACAGCGTTATCCCGGCTGAGGGGTACAAGAAGGGATCACGCTTTCCGTGGGAGTTTGCCAACTGAGTTGATCGAGTAACGTTAGTCTCGTCATACTGCCAAATGTGTGTTGAAACCTTATGGTTTTGAAACTCCAGGCGGCACCGGCGTTCGTTGCATGCCAGAACCATCTCTCGCGGCTTCCTTACACACTTGGGCGTGATCGCTGAACTTCTACAGTGTTTTAAAACGTGTGCCGTAAACCTTTAGGCCGCACTCCCACTGTCCTGGCATGATACAAAAGACGCGGTGTGTGCGCAACAGACATGATAGCCGAATCATGTGCGGTCACGCCCCAAGTGTGTACAATACACGTTTGCTTCATACATTAGTACGCCACGGACATGTCATCAGACAGTTTACAAGAATAGAAAGTTGGGCGAGTTGGTATGAATTCATTTTGAAAAACAGCGCGAATACCACACGGACAAGAAAGAGGAACACACAGGACGAGGCAGACAGTTTTTGTGCGGCCAATGTGACACAGTCATACAAGAAAGGCCTCGGAGATTGCCTGAAGGCCGTCTTTTGTTTTGTGTATAAGCAGAGTAACCCCGGCCTAAATAATCGAGAGCTATTCTGGCACCTTTATGACACCACGTGGGATTCGCACTGTCTACTATCAGAAAACTCCTCGCTCTTCCACCACACCGAGACACATTCTACACCTAACCTTGTTTTTGTACACCCCAGTCAGGCAGTGGGACATTCTTTTTTTAACGTCCTCCCTAAAGAGCTTTAAGACTTATACGCCATTCACATGACCGTAAAGGTACCTTTAGCTAAGGGACCTTTATTCTCTGCGGCCAATCAATTAACGATCGTCCGCGCGTGGCGTGTGCTCGGGACCCAAGAAGCCGGGCTGATTCGCCGATAGCAAAAGGACTAATGTTAAAGGTATACCATTGACCGTGTGAATTGGGTATTACAAAGAGCGGTGACCGACACATATTAAACATAGGATGTACTTTTATGAAAAACCTGCGGCGCCGTCAGTTGCCACTCGGGAGCGGCGCGTTGCATCATGGGTTGTTTCCCATAATGCAAAGCGCGGGACCCTCGTGACGTCACTCGTGATGCCAGGTGTGACGTCATTATGGGAAACGTCCCACTATGCAACGCGCCAGTCCCGAGTGAGACCCGCGCGTTGCATTATGGAACGTTTCCCGGCCACTATGCACCATGCGGTTACGCCGACGCCGACGGCGACGCCACTGAAGCCGGAAACGGGCACCAAAGAGCTGCACTCTAAAAAGCTCGTCTTCCATTGCTCGTACAGATCTGCAAATCACTCAAGACGGGAGGATGGACGACAATGATGGATCCAAGTGCCGGCCCTTACGCATTTTCCGGCGACCAGTGGGTCGGATTCGATGGGCCTCGGTCCCTCGCCAAGAAGGCCAAGTTCGTCAAAGCCCACGGCCTTGCGGGCATCATGGCATGGGAGCTGAGCATGGACGACTTCAGTGGACTCTGTGGCTCCAAGTATCCGCTCCTGACTGCTATAAACACGGAGCTGAAGAGTGCTGATGCTACGTCTGGCAGATAAAAAAGGACCCGAAAAGATAGGACTGCCTCTGGCTCGGGCATTGCGATCCTACGGTTATATTGTTAAAAAGAATCCATCTTGTTACAGCTGGACGTTGACAAATTTGTCAACGACAGTGAAAAAAAAAAAAGACATGTAGACAAAAACATAAAATACGGACCCAATCTCATCCAAGAAATAACTCATCCAGGAAAGTATGCTTCGCATGCTGGATATTTTTTTCCTCTGGGTAAACCGGCAGAGCTAAGCGCCTGCTTGCTCTACGGAAAATTTTCTATAATTTCAAATTACTTCAATGATACACAAGAAGAAGCAGCAGCTAAACCCCCCAAAAGAGGAGCTTAGAGTGAATACTAAGGAAAACACCCAGAAAGCATCCAAAATAAGAGCCAACTAAGGCAAGGAACTCTCCGATTGCCAAGACTTTTGTGTTAAATAAAATTGAGTTCCGTATAAGTTTTCAGTGTTCCGTTAATATTTTAAAGAAAAGTATTACTCCAGAGAGTTCCTTCTGGCTAGTCACATCGTCTTAGAATCTAAAAAAAATTAATATTGAAATGTGGAGTACACCAGTTATTGCGTATACTTACGAGTTGTACTTAGAATTGTCTTAGACATATCTAACGTTGTACCAGATGTTTTGTATTTGACTAAATTTTTAGCTTTTATTTTACTTATTTCGTGTTCCAGTGATGACCTTTAAGGGCAGCTGGGGCCTCGTGAAGCTGCAAGAGCAGCTTTTTTTTTACCTTCCTTTTTTTTTTTTTGGTTTGATGGAAATAAATTCCGAACTTGTAGCTTGAAGTTGAAACGTACTGGTGAGCCGTGGAACCTCACTTGTAATTTCGCTAACTCTTCCAGTGAGATATTATGCATTAATGGCTTTGTAACCGTGTGGGCTTTCGGCGGTTTTGAGCTCTTTAAGATAACACTAAAGAAATACGTCAAAGAGCATTGAAAACGCTACCCATAAAGCAATTACAAATATTACTCAGAAGGTATTCTGTTACGTTAGTTGCATCGTTTATTTACTGCGCGTCAGACTATTTTCAAGTCCGAATGTTTGATATAAAACGCGCTTTTTTTAACCTCGAACATTTTTACCACTAAACCTCTTATTATTGGGTGAAATACTTAATTCATATTATGGCATAAATATCATTAATTTAGAATATTTGAACAAATTTCATTTTCTTCCTGTTCGAAACGAATTGATGATATCGTGCCACAGCGTTGAGTGATTTCACGAAAAATAACGCAATTTGTCATTACCCCTCAAGACAACAATTGACAACTTTTAGTGTGATAAAATAATAAATCGCCAGGTACCATTACTTTCAAAAACGCCGAGTTATAATATTTTGTCAGCACAAAATTTTTTGTGAAATTTGTTAATTTATGTGTATGTGTCTTTCTTGTAACTTCCAACTCTTTTCGTCCCGCCTAATTTTCATATTTTTACTTTCTAATTCTTTCACAGAAACCAAAATTCACTCTAGGTTCGCGCTTCGCCATGAATTCGCATAAACGCAGGTAAATTGAATTTAGTAATTTCGGTATTTGCTTCTGCATAGCAGAGGAATGGAGGGTGTCCCGTTATCGTACAAATTACGGCTTGCAGTCTCTTCGCTTAAGGCCACGGTCCCACTGAATGTGGCAGTTTAGGTACTTTTTGGCAGGTCATTACTCATCTCCTTATAAATACTATTTTGTGGGATTGATGTCATTCGAAAGGTAATGCAATCCTCTTTCATTTGATATTATGTATGTGCTGGATTTTACTGTTCATGCGCGTTTGTAGCGTTGCGAATATGATGGCGCGGACTCTCACTTGCTCCGCTAGTTCATGCTTTATGAACGATCCATTAAAGATAGCACGGTTCCAATATAGCAGTTTTGTTAAGATGATGTCGGAGCAAAATGTAACGATACACTTTTTTGCTATTTGCACTACTTTGTTTTTTTCATCCCTCCAAATATTGCCCTAAAATTGACATTTTTCAGCACAAATATGTTTTTATTGACAAGCGCTAGGGCACTGAAATTAGCTACAGATGTAGTGCTTATAATTGGTAATATGCAGAAAAAAATTTAATGTTGTGTAAAAATTTTTTGTTGAGATATTTTATATCAAACGTAGCACTTTTTTGTGCTTTGAGTCATCGTACTTCAAATGCCGCTGAGGAAATATTTGAACTATGATAAAATATTTTATAACATTTAGAGCTACAATGGTTGCCCAAGAGGTGGACAATGGCTTTTTTTCATTTTCAAAGTCATAACGCTCTAGGAGCCCTTCAAACTTACCTGTTTTTGACGCATATCTTTTTGGACATCAAACAGATTTATTGGCATCTAATAACATTTATTGTTTGGAATAGACATACATTGCGATGTATTAAATTTTCACAACGACCTTGCTTTGGTTTCATAATAGGTGTAGAACTTAGCTAATTTTAAAAACAATTAAAAACTGTTTGGGTGTTTTGTTGCGCTACCTGGCGGATGGCAGACAAAGTGCTGATTTCTAGTGTTCGAAAAATTTCCGAGGGCGGCGTTGGCGTCTGTATCATCATCAATCGCCGTGTCTTTTTACCTTCACATTTAAAAAATATATTGGAAGATTTACTATCGATAAATGAATGGTTTAGGTACTGGGTCAGGTTAATACATCTAAGACAAATAATTACACACGCGTAGCGTGATATAATGTGGTAATTATTCGATATGATTGAAATCAATAAACAATAAAGACGAAGAGGAAAATAATACACCCGAGTTCACTTCATGACTAGAGTCACTGAATGAGATTTAAAGTATCGGCACTCCGTTCCCCAAAATTGTCTTGGGCGCCGCCATTTTGGGTCCTGTTCAGTGCAAACGGAACTGCCGATCGTCATGATCCAAAAGCACGACTTCCTCAGCATTAGATGCGGTGCTAGGAAGCTGATGCAATATTGCAATTAAACATTTGTGGGGGACGGAAAAGCGTTTCCTGTGATTTTAAATAAAGCTTCAGGTAACTGGCGACCATGATTTTAAGCCACAATATGGCCAAGTGTCGTTACTCTGAACCGTAGCTAATTTACTGGCACAAGCGGGAACAATGAAGAAGAGGCAGGTGTCAAAAGGTAGTGGCTTGTGGAATCCACGGGGCTTACGTCTTGGCCCTTCTCGGTATTAGAAGCCTCTTGAAAAAGAGCATGAATAGTGTCATTAATTAAGCTACGCGTCAGAGTAGCGACACTTGGCCATATTGTGGCTTAAAATCATGGTTGCCAGTTATTTGAAGCTTTATCTGAAATCACAAGAAACGCTTTACCTAGTGCCACTAAATAAGCTACGCTTCAGAGTAACGACACTTGGCCATATTGTGTCTTAAAATCATGGTTGCCAGTTATCTGAGGCTTTATCTGAAATCACGGGAAACGCTTTTCCGCCCTCCACAAATGTTTAAACGGTTCGCGACAGAGGAAAGCAATATTACATGAGCTTCCTAACACAGAATCTAATGTTGAGGAAGTCACACTTTTGAATCATGGCTATCGGCAGTTGCGTCTGCTCTGCATACGAGCCAAAATGGCGGCGCCCACAACAATGCCGAGGAACGGAGTGCCGATACTCTAAGCGCAGCTCATTTAGTGGCTCTAGCTTTACCGTCTTCCACTTTAAACAGTGTGCGACAAAGCGAAGCAACATTACATGAGTTTCCTAACACCGAATCTAACGCTGAGGATGTCGCACTTTTGAATCATGACGATCGGCTGTTGCGCCTGCTCTGCACATGAGGAGGAAGCGGCCAAGGAGGAGAAACGCGGGTTTTATGTGTGACCGTTCTAACCGTCTCAAAAGAGAGAACGCGCGAGCTTGCGCTGGTTTAAAAAAAAGGCATCCAAAGAAAAGAGGCGGCACGCTGTGCTCTTAGTTATTATGCATCTAATTGCAAATTGGTGTGTGTATGTTTATACAGCCGGAAGTTAGTCCGCCTCACTGGGCGTCTGACTCTCAGCTGTAGATAAGCAATTTAGCCAGCGCGGTACAACCGCAAACCTGGTGTCTTTAACGTGCACCACGCAGTAGTGATACACGACCACACGCCGGTAGGATGCTCTTCCAGATCGAAACGGGCAGGGGCGGGGTGGCTTCTGCAGCGCGAGCTTTCGCTCCAAGTGCTCCGAGCTGGTGCGCGCTAGACCATGCACTCGGCCACCGACCCCCCCCCCCCCCCCCCCCCTTTTTGTGCGTCTAATTTATATACAGGTATAAGTATTTGCAGATCGACGATGGACGTCGATCGTCTCGAGGTAATGTAACGTAATAACATTATATAAATAATAAACTTGTTGAAGGACTCAACGACTCAATTTTTTAATTCTTGGATTGCAATATGGCCGTAGCCTATTGTATTTGCTGTTGATGAAGAGCAATATGAGGTGACGAGGTAATGATTAAATGATGAGGCTCTATAAGGACGACGACATTTGTGAGTGTCGAACCACAACGTACAGTGCCATACTTGTTTCAAGTATCGTGTACCCAAAGACTTTCTTCTCCCGCAACAGGATATGGTAGAATCAATGAGGATGCTACTTTACAACTGTACGTGGAAAAGGAAAACTGCACTGTGCAGAAGTGCGGCTTATTCGTTAATAAGAGGAACGGATTTCTAGCAGCATTCCCTGATTGGTTACTTGGAACAAATGGCCTCATTGACGTAAAGTGTCCCCGTTACAAAAGATTCTTGAAGCATACTTAAACCGCAAAGGAGTATGAGGCGAAAAATAATAAAAAGGAGCCTGGTGTGAAAGGTCCAAATCACCCACCATGGCTTCTACTATCAAATACAAGGGCAGTTACACAATACACAAAGAGAGTTTTGGGATTTAGTTATATTTACACTCAAGGACGTTGATATCCAACGTATACAGAGAGATGACACGTTCTGGTCAACCAACATAGAGCCTTTTCTACTCAAGTTTTACATGGAAGGCCCGACTTCCGCTGAAATTCCTCACGTAGACGAGTTGTCCGACCGAATAAACTGCAATTACTCCCGATCTGGGAATCTCTCGATCTTCGTTTGTAAGCCATAGTATCATGAGATCGAGGGGTGTGGCTCTTCGTCCACCGAATATTTCTTCGGCGGGTGTTTTTACCGTGTAAGAGGAGACCGTCGCGTGCTGCTGGAACAACAACCTGGCGATTCTTCACTGAACTGCTTCTTCCGTAAGCTTCGAAAGGGCTTTTTTGTTTCGCACACCATCTGTTCTGCATGCCCGTAAGTTGCAGGATGGTATGGTGCACTAATGTGATGCCTGATGCCGGTTTTTTTCTTCAAAAACTTGTTTATTTTGTTTGAAGCAAGATTTGGCGCGTTATCAGAGAAAAGTATTTTCGGTAGGGCAAAAGTAGGTAAAAGAGACCGTAGAACGTCAATGACGTGTTTGGACGTCGTG